TTGGTGTGACCAGGAAGGGAGAATTCCCAGCATGGCTTGCGCACGTGCCTGGACCAGTTTTGCCCACTGGAACATTGCTCAAATACCACACATTCCTGTTGGCTCACAGGAGTTCAAAGTTCTTTATTCGATAGTCACATTCCTGGAAAGGCATGCAGAGAGCAACTTATTTTTCTAAGTCAAACTGTGCATTTCCTCTGGGGTGCACTGTGACTTCACAAATGCTTGTTGTCTTTTGGGATGGGTCTTCAGCTCTCCTGGCAGAGCTTCATGGAACGGTCTGTTGTCAGCGGCTACCTTTGCTCTGTACGGAGACCCCACTGGCCTCACCTTTGGGTCAGGTCTCTAATGATCTGCACCCAAACAACAGAGGCCTGGTTTGGGTTTGATTTGGGTTTGATTTGGGTTGATTGATGAAAATGACTGTTTTCCTCTTGGCTTTCAGCCTTGGAAGAGTTTTCTCCATCAAGAACTTAGGTGAGTTTTATCTTCAAAAGGAAGCGCACGAATCAGCCACTGAGCCTCTGATGACTGAGCTGGTTTTCCTTGATGGGCCAGCTGCTTCCAGGGCCTGACCCGGCCCAGCACCCCCGGCGCCTTGCAGGGTGCCGGGTGCGGTGAACGTGCTCACGGGTCCTCCCGATCCTTCCCGTCTCAGCTTGCTCTAGCCCACGGTGCACTCACGCAGCAGAGGCGTGCCGCGTCCCCCGCGTGCCAGCCGCTTGCTGGCCACTGGGGCTGCAGCAGTGATGGAGACCAGGCCGCTCCCCTCGGGAGTTCCCCAGTGGGAGAGACCCAGTCCAACAGGCGTATAACAACCACGTGAAGCCCAGAGAACTTACAGGTTCCATTTACTTCATTAATTTCACCCCCAACTTAATGGCAGACTTCTTGTAGCCATCAAATGTCCCCTCCTATAAGAAGCCTTCCTAATTCCCCTCCTTCAGAGCACAGTGACCAGTCCCCTCGCTGTGGCGCTGCTGTAAGGTACGCAGGTGTTTGTGCTGACGTCAGGTATGTCGGGCACGTCCGTTCCTCCCGACTTTGCCGCCCCACTTTCTGTCTGTGAGCGCCTTGTGGGCAAGATCTGTGTTTTCTTTTTTCTTCTTCTTTTTTATTGAAGTGTAGTCGGTTTACCACGTTAGTTTCAGATGCACAGCAAAGTGATTCAGTTACACATGTACATAATGTACCTATATATTTTTTCAGTTTCTTTTCCATTACAGTTCATTTCAAGAAATTGAATGTAGTTCCCTGTGCTGTGCAGGAGGTGCTTGTGGTTTCTCTGTTTTATGTATAGTAATGTGTGTCTCTTAATCTCAGACTCCTAACTATCCCTCCCCTCCCCTTACCCTGCTGGTAACCAGTTTGTTTGCTGTAGGACCCATTCCTTTTCCTTGTTCTTGGTTCAGAGCCAGGCCTGGGGACATAGCAGTGCTCCTACCCGACTCTTCAGAGTCTCTCTCCTGGAGTTACTTTTAATGCATTAAAATAAACATGGCCAGCGAGCTCTGGAGAAGCAAGTATCAACACCTCCTGGGTGAGGCTAGAAACACAAGAGCTGCATCATGGGGGCAGCTCTCTCTCCTTGAGGTCCTGTCTTACCCTAAATTCATGACCCTCTAATGACCCTCCAGCACACAGCACAGGGCTGAGCCCACAGCAGGCACATGGCAAATGAGTACCTATCTCCTGCAACATTTATTGAGCTTTTTCTCTGTTCAGACACTGCTAGGTTCTAAGGGACCAAAATGAATAGAATACATTGCCTATGCTTAGTCCAAAATGAGGGTGGAGGCCGGAGTGGCTGGAAGTGAGTGGGTTACTTGGAGGTGAAAATGACCGCACAAGTAGGGAATTACAATATAATATGATCACCACTAAGGAAGTTGTGAAAACAGAGGTGAGGTGCCAGGCAATTGTCTTTCAAGAGGGACAGCTGAGCTGCATTGTGAAAACAAGTTGGAATTGGGCCAGTAAAAATGGCAGAGTGTATGTCCCAGGCACAGGGACAAGTGTGAGCAGAGACATAGTATTCAGCACTGAGGCCAGTTCAGGGATGCACAAACAGCTGGATGATGCTTGAGCACACAGTGCAGTGCGGGAGCTGCAGGAACCAAGCTCGGGTCACATGCAGAGCTGGGCCCAGGAAAGCCGGAGCTCCCCGCTTAATCGTTTAGAGCCACCCTGTCCAACAGAAACAGAAAGCAAACCACGTAGGTCGTGTAAGATCTTTCTAGGAGCCATATTTTAAAAAGAAAAAGTGAAATTAATTTCAATGATGTATTTTATTTATTCTAATATGTCCCAAACATTATCATTTCAACATGTAATCAACCTAGAAGTCCTTACTGAAATATTTTGCGTCCTTTTTTCCATACCAAGTCTTCAAGATCCAGCTGTGTTTTACACTTGAGCGCACAGATGAGACCTTATCCTCTAGGTCAGCGGAAGCCACAGAAGAGTTTTACAGCAGAGATAATGTACCCATGTTCCCTATAGCGTTCCTAGGAGCCACAATATTAGGTTTAATTTGACAGTTATTTGTGGAGATCCAGCCATGCAGAAATTACTGGACAAAGCCTGGGGGCGGGTAGGAAGACGATTACAAAGGGTTACCTGCCTTGCACATCAGCAAGGTCGGTAAGTGCCTTAGGAGAAACACCAGCAGTGGGAACATACGACTTAGACAATTCTGAGCAAATGCTGCGATGTAGCAGTGGACACCAGCAGTGCCTGAGGGCTATAAACACTGCTAGGCTTTCAGCATTCTTACCACATTTCACTTTCATGGCCACCACGGAGATTGGCATACGGCTGTTTCATTTATACATGGGAAATTTTGATTTTTTAGAAAGGTTAATCTCAGGGTTTTAGAAAGAGGTGGAGTGGGGACGAGAACCCAGCCCTCCCTACACAGCCCCTGTTCTATGTTCTAGAACTCGTATAGGGCCTTGATGGTGGACATGAGAGCACGAAAACTGAATGGATGAATGAAACTCCTTAAAGCTCTTCCTGTTGTCTTTCAGACAGTGCTCTCTCCTTGTGTTTCTCGCTCCTTCATGCCCACCTCTCCTGGTTTTCCTTGAGTGTCCTCCTTTCTCTGCCTGCCATGTAAGCGTGGTTGTAGAACTCTCCAGCTCACTGTCAGGCCAGAAACAGAGGCTCCTCTGTGGGTGCTGGTGCGGCCTGGTGCTCTTTGTCCTCAGTCCTCAGCTTCTGCATTGCCCTCTCCACCTTGACTCCTTCCTCACCTCCTCCATTGCACCCACTGTTGATAGACAGGTGCAGGGCAGTCGTTCCTTTCCGTAGGGAATACTGGCTGAGGACCACTTTGCTACAATGGATTACACAGCATTAGTGCTGGGGATACACACGTGAATAACAGAGTCCTGATGTTTCATTAGTTGACAAGGGAAAGTGAAATAGATCCATAGACAGTCTATTATAATGTAAGATAGAGGGACAGAGTATTGGGAAGCAGCTAAGAGGGTGAGAATCAGGCAGAGATTCTCAGAAGTAAGATGATTTAGACAGAGCAGAAAGGATGCTGTGTTTCTCAGCAGTGTAAGATGTGGAAGGCATGACTGACAGAGGAAGTAGCTAACACAAGGGAAGAGTTGCTCAAAATAGGATGGTAGGTTTGGGGAATTATGAGAGTCTAGACTAGAGTTAAAGTGAAGGGAGGGACGGAACAGAGGGAGACGGGGTTGGAAAGAAAAGTAGGGGCCAGATCACCGTGGGATTGGTATTTGATCCTACAGGCAAAGGGAAGTTAAGAGATTTAACAGGAATTCACTCTGGCATTGATGGAGCAGGAAGAAACTTGAGGAAATTATCTGTGATTGACTTAATCCTGGTCCCACATCTTTTAAGAAGGAGAAGGAGGAAGAGGAGGGGGACTTGAGTCCGTTTAAGTTAGTTTTCCCCATTCATTTCATTTAGAACTGAGGGGTGCACTATCATCTAAATACTCTAATCTTCAGGTTTTCCCTGGTGTCTTTTCACATTTCAGCCCCAAACAAGAAGATGAAGATAAAAAAATGAAGGAAAAAGAGCCTTGTGAATTAGAACCTGGAAAAACAGAAAAGGATCTACATCCCAACCATCTTTTCAAGGTATCCGTGTTCTAGGGTTCCCGATCAAAGAGTTGCAGTTCAGCCACGTAATGAGCTCAGTTCATGGAGTGACTTTTCAGAGGCTAAGACATGCAGCTCTCCAGAGAGACGGTCAGAAGATGCAGTGGGTGTTGGGTGGTTTATCAAAGAAATGAACGTGACAATAATGCTGAACTCTGGCCTTAGGTTTTCCTCTTGTTAGCCTTGAAGCGAGCCTTATAAGCAGGACTGAGACTTGTGTGGATTCAGCAAGGCACCTGGGGGCAAAATACAATGAGATACTCTGCCCTTGCACCCCCCTAGAGGGCAGGCTTCCTTACGTTCTGTGCTCTCAGGCCCTGCTTGGAAGAGAGGCTTAGTGTCTGAACTCAGGCATCTCATCTGTAAAATGAGAAATCATCCCTACCCCATGACCATCCCCACTCCTATCCTGATTTTTATTTGTGATAATAAAATTGAATAACATGAAGACGCCTTATAAGCCATAAGCTACCATAAAAATGAAATGTATTGTTGTTAATTAACTGATTAGTTAATATCATTTATTAATAGTAAACACTGTATATGTGTATATGCATATCCAGTTGACACTGTCTCCTTCGAAACAGTTAGTGTGGCCAAAGGCTTAAACAGTAGGTACCACTGGGGCTACTGCCAGGGCTCAGAACATTGGAGATATCTGTTTGGGATGTGCCTGTCTTATCATTATCAGATTGTTCCAGTTCCACCTGTAGGGCTTGGGGAAATCAAGCAGTTTGGTGGTGATGTGGGCCAGAACTGGGGTGGAGGCCCTGAGGCCAGGCTGGACCAGACTGGGTGTTGACAGAGTATCACAAAGCAGCATAATTCAAAGAAGAAAGTCACTAACAATGAAAGATGACTCCAGAGCCAGGGGAGCAGCATGGAGTGACAAGGCCATAATGAGTGATGAGGTCGGAGATCAGGAAGGGGTTGATCAGGCACAAGTGAGAAAGGCAGTAAAGGAATGTGATTAAGGATACTGAGCATGAAAGAGCCAGAGCAGGTACGTGCCCATTTCCAGCACTGACCAAGAGCCAGGTGTGGGGTCAGGTTCCTTCCCACCAAAAGGATGTAGTCCTACTTTCATGGAGTAGATTTGAGTTTTGGAAATTGTTCAGAGTTATTTGGAATGTGTTAGGTAGGGTCGTCTAGCTGGGCAGTGCTCTTTGGAGTCAGATATGAATGATAAGTCAGTAGAGATACATTCCCTCGCTCTTCAGACTGACTCTGGGAAGCATTCCCGAGGTCGGCCCTCAGAGGATCCGTGGACTGCTTCATTAGAGGCTGTGCTGAAGGAAGGTGGTCACATTATTTGTGTGAAGTACTGACTTCATTACTTTCTTGCCATCTTTTCCCCCATTTAAATATTTCATTCTTGGTTGTGTGACTTAAAAGAATGCCCCTCCTCTTCTCCTCTTCATCTGCCCATATCCCACCAAGAACACAGGGAATTCCCGGCCTTATATCTGTTCATTACTGTACCTTTCAAGCACTTTCACAGGTGTTGTCATGGTCAACCTTCTTGTCCACTTGTAGTCGAAACGGTAGTAACCCTTCTCCCGCTGTCATCTCACAATGATAAAACCCTTCGATGGCCAGAAATGTTCCAATTCTCCGCTGTCTCCAGTATCTCTTCCTGCCAGCCTCTCTAGATTTCTATTTCAGATCTATTTCTGAAATGCAAACCTGATCAGCTTTCTGCTCTGCCGAGCTCCCTGTGACCATGAGATAAAACCTACATCTCTTGCCTTGTGTGCAAGACACTTCACAGCTCAGCTCCATCTTCTCTCACCTTTCCAGCCTCACCTCCCGTCTTCCTTCCCATCCCTTGAACTCTCCCCTCATCGGGAGCCTCCATACCACCCTCACGAGGATGCTGTCACTTCTGTGCCTTTGCTTGTGTTGATTTATCCGCCAAATATTCCTTTTCCCCTCAACCAATCTCTTCCTTACATTTTAAAATACAGTTTAATAAAACCTTCTTTTGGAGTCCCCCCCCCCGACACTGTCCCCTAGACTCAAGAACTGACCTCCCCTCCTGTTTCCACCTCAGTGGGCAATACCGCTGTGAATGGCGCTCGCCACACTATACCTTAATGAGCTGTGGGCTGTATTGCTCTGTGACCAGCGTGTGAGCCACCGTGCCCACTGCATCTCTCTGTCTCCAGAGCTTAGCATGTTGTCGCCTTCAGTAAGTGTTTGACAGATGCCGGAAGAAGGAGGTGTGGAAAGAAGCGAGGAAGAACAGAACAAAGGAGGGTAGGAAGATGAAATGCTGGGCAGAAGGAACATAGCATCCCTTAGCGGCCAAGAGCTTGGGGCTCTGGGGTCTAGGCCTGCCTTGGTAGGTGATGCACTGTGAGCCCCAACACCAGGTATTTAACATTTAGTTAAAACTTCTAAACTCTGTCATGAGGAATAATGGTATTTTTCTAATGGGGTATCATGAAACTTAAGTGAGATAAAATATATAAAGTCAGTGCTCCGTCATATCCTGACGGCCTGCTGTGGGCCTGCCTCTGGACCAGGCCTTCATCGGCTGTTCAGAGGCGAACCAAGGACGTGGTATGCGTCCTTGTGAAACTTAGAGAAGTACGACTGTGTAAATACAATAACAACTCATTGCTACCTGTGCAGAGCAAATAAATAGAGAACAGCGTGAATAAGCAAAAAAACCAACAGGGAAGTCAAAGCCTGCAAGACCGTCCCTGTTGCCTGTGTTTAGGTGGACGCCTGTGAAGGGACGCCTGGAAGAACCCAGATGACGAAAGTCCACAGAGGTGAGAGGAGCGCGCTGGCCGGGAAGCAGGACGCAGGGACCGACGCCGACATCCTCCAGACAGAGGCCTGCCCCGAGGAGCCCGCGCTGGCCAGGCGCTCCCCCGGCCACTGTGAGTTGTGTCTCTTCCTGGTTCTCCTCACCATGACCAAGTCATTCTGAGGCTGTGCATGACCAAGATTTTAATTTGTTTTATAAATATTTATTGAACGTCTATTATATACCAAGTGACTTGGCCGAGGGAGGCAGCTGGGCAGGAGTGGAAATCCAGAGCACTGGATCTAGAAGTGGAAGGACCCGAGTTCAGATCTAGGCTCTCACACGTGTTAGCTACGTCGTAATGTAAGTTCACGGTCCTCAATTTCTTCGTTTATAAAAAGGGATCATGAGATGGACCTCACTGGGGTTTGGTGAGGACCAAACCTGACTGTCACATAAGAGGTATCAGCAAATCTTCATTCATTTCTTTTCATGTCTACTGACTTCTGTTGTGTTTTTGTAGACCCAAGTCATCGACACCCTGATGTCAAAGTATTCTATCGTTAGCTGACTTGATTCAAGTTGCATTTTATCGTCACATGAGTTAAGAGTCTTGATTACAAGTAACAATAATCAAATCATACTGTATAAAGCAAAAGAGAAAAAGGAGGTTCACCTGGCAGAAAGTCTGGGCGTGGCTGGATCCAAGGACGTAAACAGTATCACGAGGACTCAGTATTACGTCTTCTGTGTTTGGCTTTGCTCCCTTCTGGCTTGGCCCCATTTTCAAGCCAGCTCTACCCTGTGGAGGCAGGATGGTGCAAGATGGCATCTGGCCATGACAGGCTTCCACAGGATCCTTTTAGGAACCCCAGAGGAAAGCTAGAAATTACTACCATCTCAACAGTTTTTTTTTAAAGGCCCAGATCTGAGTCTTGTTAGCTTGATTATGTCACATGCCAACCCTGAACCAGTCATCATGAACGGGGGCTATGATGGTCTGACTGACCTAGCCTATGTCATAATTCACTTCTGGAGCTGGAGGTAGAGTTAATGTTACCAAAGCTATACAATTTCAGATTGAAGGGTTTCCCAAGGGAAATAAAGCGCTCAAGAGAGAATAAAAAAAGGACTCTGGATCGACAAAACAAATGTCCTCTCCAGCCCAATAAGCCATGCAAACCACTGACGTTTCATAACGTTACAGAGTTATGAGAGGAACATATTTGTAGGGATCATGAGATGGACCCGAGGCCCTATAAAATCTGCCTCCAGGCTAGCTGGCTGGCTGCCTCCCTGCCATTCATCCCCTTCCCTGCGTGCTCTGTGCTCTGAGTTAACTGGCTGTGTCATGTGCGTAAGTGCCCTGTAATTCTCATCGATCTCTTTCCTCTGTCTGGAAGGCCTTTACGTCTGTTCTCTGCCGGCTGATGTCCAAGTCATCCTTCAAGATCTGTCTCAAAATTCACTTCTCCTGCGGCTTTCCTTACCTCCGTGCATCCCCCTCTTTCCCTCTCTCCAGGGGAAAATACCGTAATTTCGTATTCCTCTCTGTTTCCAGGACAGCAACTGAATGACCACTTTTCCATATTAGGTTTTGGAGTCGAGCATTTCTGGGACCCATGACTACTATATATTAATCCTACTCCCTTGGGAAATTTAACTCCCTTTTATGTGCGCATGGCAATAACTAGTTACTTCCTGGGGTTCTTTGTCAGTGCATGTAAAGTATCTAGTTCATTGCTAAATAGCCATTAATTCTCTCTATTTCCTTTTCTAAAAGAAATTACGGCATGCCTTACATTATAATTCAGGGTGTACAGGTTTGTCTTCCATGGTAGACAGTGAGCAACCTTGAGATCCGAGACCATTTGATACTTTTCTCTGTCTCTCTGCAACCCGCCACAGTGGATAGAGCCAACAAAACTTTGTTAAAGGAAGGAATGAAAGAGTAAGTCAAACTTCCAAGAGAGAGTGTGGTAGATCTGACAATCTGAATGGTTCTCCTGACTAAAACAAGTAAAGTGAAGAAGAATTTGCGGGAGAAAATTTATAAAAGTATCACAGAACTGATTTAAAAGGAAGCACCCTCGTACCTGCAGTAATGGGAGCCCTGGGGAATGAGCGAGCGCCAAAGCTACTCTTGCCCCGAGGGTCTTCACTGAGCTCTGAATCCCTTCAGCTCCTGTTCTGGCTGCGTGGTATGCGGAGGACAGGAGCTACATCCCAGGGCCTTGCCAAAGTGGGTTTACGGTAGATGGGCCTGTATAAAGTTGGGGCCTCACAGAATGATGCCTGCACAGAAGGAACAGGACTGTGCCTGTTGTTAACAATACTATATTGTGTCTAAATTTATTTAAGAAGAGTAGATCTCAAGTGTTCTTAACACAATATATTGTTTTTAAATAAGAAAATGGAAAAAAATTTTTTCAAAGACATTCCGAGGAAATGAATGACCTGTGGGAAAGTGCAGAGGTAGCCTTGAATCAAAAACCCTGCCTGGAGGTGGGAAGTGGACGGACTTATGTGGAGTGTAGAAAACACCGCCTGGGCGGAAACCAAGCTGGAATGAACACAAGAGTTAAAGGAGAGGCCAAATTCCAGCAATTAAGTCCTGTCCGTGAAAAGTCACTACAGATTTGGTGATTATACTGTGTCAAAAACGGTCTGAAGAAGATTCTTCGGAGGAATCTGTAGATACTGCCAAAGCACAGAGGAAACTGCTAAACCCATTTCACAGTTCTTTTCACTACTTGTGATGAAAGCACAAAGTGCTTTTGTGTGTGTGTGTGTGTCGGAGAAACTTACTGATAACTGCATAAGAAAAAGCAAGGCTGTTATGTGCCTCTGGGAGCTGACATTCCATTGAGATGGTTTGGGGCCTATATGCTAACTGACTTCATGTCAGATGATTAAAATCTTGCTGCTTGGTGCTTTTAATTAATAGACAAAAGTCAATGTGCTTATTGTTTATTTCTCAGATATTATTTCTGATTAATAGTTCATGTCTGAAAATGGCTCTGAATCACCCATACTGTAAATATTTACCTATGCCAACTGATAAAAAGGTGGCAGGTTTATGGTTATGACAAGTTTACAGCTCTGTGAAATATACCAGCTCCTGCATTTAAAAGGCTAGCTACTTGTGCAAACAACCCCTGTACACTTTTCAGCCTGGCACACTATCTGGCTGATTCCATCACTGGCAGACAATAAATGTTGATGTGTGTTCAATCAACTTGTCTAAGAAATCTTACTTTAAGGAAAAAAATGCCACAAAACTGGAAAAGTCATCTACATCTAGGGAAAGAAGCCCCAAGGTTGCACCTTGGAGGACTTCAGCATTTGAGGTCAGGGATTGGAGGAAGAACCATTAAAGAAGAGGGAGGAGTCACTAGTTTACTAGGTAACTGACACCTGTCATAAAAATGTATGAATCCTTGCCACCATCAGGAGACAGTAGGTGTCACTGTCATCATCTCAACTCGAGAGGATCATGACTGAGGCTCAGCAAGGTAAAGGGTCGCCCAAGGACCGTACATACCAAGATTATAAGGCAGTGTTCGTATATTTCACCTGCCTTTTCCTGACGTGTGTGAGTGCATTTGTGAGAGCAGCTGATGGGATGTTTTTCAGGGCGTTCTCTGTTTTCCCTACAGGTGGGTATGTGAAGGCCTTGGAAATGACTAAAGAAGCCCCAGGTCAAGGAGCCTGTACACCAAATTCCCTTTCAGAGACATATGATGACGTTGAGTGCCTCGGGAGAGAAGGGTAAGTACATGCCAGTCTGTTAGCAAGATGAACATGATGAGACTTTAAAAGTACCTCACAACCGGTCAGTGATCTTTGTATCTTGTCTCTCCATAGGCTGAAGTCGGACTACTCTAACTCATTGGCTTCAGATAATGGTGAGTATAAGAAGACATTTTTTGAAATTGTCAGTAGGAATTGCTAAGAATTTCTGTGGCTGATTAGCAGTCTTTTATGTATTTTTAATAATGCCAGTTGGGTAGAGTGATGATAAGCTAACAGAAGTGGTTCAAGGTATGTGTGAAGCAGTGCATTTAGAATCATGAAGGTGAAGATGCTGGTAGCAGGTCTCTTATGGCAGAAAGCAAGACTGCTGTGGAACTGCCACTGTCCTGATCTCTTCACAATTGCCAGTATGATGACAGAAATGTGTTTTACTTAGAACACTTGCATGGATTCCCAGTACTTTTATTTTCCTTGAAGTTTGTTTTATGATATTAGTTTCGGGTGTACAACATAGTTATTTGATGTTTTTATAGATTATACTCCATTAGAAGTTATTATATATGTATATGTATATATGTATGTATAACTGATCACTTTGCTGTACACCTGAAAACTAACACTGTAAATCAACTACATTTCAATAAAAAAATTTAAGTAGTTGGTATAACATTACTGGTTGTAGTCCTGTGCTGTACATTACATCCTTGTATCTTACTTATTTTATACCTAGTAGTTTGTCCCCTTAATCCTCTCCCCCTACTCCTCTTACCCTCTTTCCACTGGTGACCACTATTTCTCTCTATCTGTGAATCTATTTTGTTAGACTTTTATTTTTTCAGATTCCACATAGAAGTGAAAACATACAGTATTTGTCTTTCTCTGTCTGACTTATTTCACTAAGCAAAATACCCTCCAGGTTCATCCATGTTGTTGCAGATGGCAGGATTTCATTCTTTTTTATGGCTGAATAGTATTCCTTTGTGTGTGTTGTGTGTATCACATCTTCTTTATCCAGTCAGCTGTTGACGGACACTTAGGTTGCTTCCATACTTTGGCCATTGTAAATTATGCTGCTTTGAACATTAAGGTTCATTTATCTTTTCAAATTAGTGTTTTTATTTTCTTCAGATATACACCCAGGAGTGGAATTCCTTGATCATATGGCAGTTCTATTTTTAGTTTTTTGAGGAACCTCCATACTGTTTCCCATGGTGGCTGTACCATTTTACATTTCCACCAACAGTGTACAAGGGTTCCCTTTCTTCCACATCCCCACCGACATTTATTATCATCTTTTTGATGGCAGCCATTCTGACAGATGTGAGGTGATAGCTCATTGTGCTTCTGATTTGCACTTCCCTGATGATCAGTTATGCTGAGCATCTTTTCTTGTGCCTGTTGGCCATCTGGATGTCTTTTTGGGGAAAGAGTCTATTGAGGTCTTCTGCCCATTTTTTAATCACATTGCTTTTTTTTTATATTAAGTTGTGTGAGTTTTTTATGTATTTTGGATATTAATCCTTTATCAGACATATAACTTGCAAATATCTCCTCCCATTCAGTTGATTTTCTTTTTTGTTAATGGTTTCCTTTACTGTGCAAAAGCTTTTAAGTTTGATTAGGTCCCATTTGTTTGTTTTTGCTTTGTTCCCTTGCCTGAGGACACAGATCCAAAAAAAGTATTGCTAAGATTTATGTCAAAGAGTGTACTGTCTATGTTTTCCTCTAGGAGTTTTCCGAGCACCACTTACTAAAGAGACTGTCTTTTGTCCATTGTATATTCTTGCCTCCTTTGTTGTAGATTAATTGATCATAGGTGTGTGATTTCTAGGTTCTCTGTTCTGTTCCATTGATCAAGTTCTGAACTTGAAAGTCCCCCCGCTGCCAGGGTAGATTCACAGTGCATCTGGGTGTGTCAAGCTTATGTGTTGGAGCAGGTGAAAGCGAAGCTATGAGGGGAAGGTTGTTCAAGATGTGTCTGGCTGTCTCCATTATTTCCCCAGCGTTAGCACGATGTCTGCCGTTCGGTAGACTGACTGTGGTATGTTACATACGCAAAGGAGGAGGGCAGAAGGAGGGAATCTGCTCATAAACCAACTTTCTTTGACTAAATCAGAACAGACTTGGAAACAGAGTGGAAGCAAATATTGATTTTTGTTTGTGCTTTTATAGAGGTTAATTATTTTTACGGCATGCTTGCAAAAACGTGTGCACATATTTCAATAAAAACTACTCAACAAAAGATCAGAGTGCCTAGCGCCTGGTAGGTATCCAATAATTTCGTGTTAAATACGAATCTGAATTATTGCCTTAATAATGAATGAAAAATTTTTTTCATTTCAGAAGACAATAGTGAAGAAATGTATGAAGACGTCTACAAAACAAAGAGCAGCTACCCTAAGATAGAGTGAGTTTCTCTTTCCTGGCTTCATAGCTAAGGGTATTTCCTGTTAGTCTATAAAAACCAAAATTTAAGAAATGAACTCACCCACACACCCCCATCTTTAGGGACGGTTTGCACAGAGTGGAGATAAGCTATTGCAATACAACATTGCGCTCAACGGGGTAGTTCTGATTGTGCTCGATCGTATGTTACAAATTTTAATCTCAGTGCTTTCTCTTTAGAGAAAATGTCCATCTGCCAGAGTAGAGGACTTTGATGCTGTGTCAGGGAGTAAGTGCGAAAGGAGAAGTAACTAGCAGTAAACTGCTTTACTTCCGCAGCTGCTCTTCCAGGAAGAAATCGGTGGTTATGACTTACTTGTATCTTTGAAAGTTAATAAGGCTATCTCTGGGCTGTGGGCTGGATTTTTTATGTAATAATTCAATGTCATCAAGGATAATATTTGTTCAAATGGGCATTACTAATCAAGTTTAGCTCTTAGAGGCACACTGTGGGAAGGAAAACAGCAGCGGTCAAAAGGAAGAAGTTTGAGGGCTGGAGGGAGAAGGCGTTTGTGCTGGGTGGGATGATGCGGGTGTATCATTCCCTCTCCGCACCTCCCTAGAAACAAACAAGAGCATATTTGGAACATGTTTAACCATCAGCCAGGCAGGGTACCACCATTGTTGTATTATCATTCCATAAATTAAAACTCAGGGACATGAATTTCAGGAGCCAGGAATTTCTATAATCTGTTTACAGTATTGTTTGTAAACCGTGATTCTCTGAGTCATCTTCTCTGAAAGGAAGACTTTGCACCATACATTCTGTAAAATAAGAGACCATTTGGAGGAGATGGCGGTTTGTATAGAAATGTAACAGTCCCCTTAATGGCGGGTGTGTGCTCCGTGGTATGAGCATCTAAACAGAGCAGCACGTAGAGGTCAACGGGGCGTTTTCGGGCTCCTCCTTGGGGCGGGGGGGGGTGGTTAGAAGTGAGACTGGGGCCTCTGGTCCTTTTCACTGCAGCGGCCTTCTGTCCCGCGTACTCTCTCAAACACCATGTTTTTTCTATCCTCTGATTCCTCTTAGTTTAGATGGAAAAGCAGCACTTAAAAGACTGCAGAGATTCTTCAAGAAAGAAAAGGACAGATTTAAAATGAAGAAAAACAAGTTAAAAGAAAATACAAGGTAAAAGTCCCCTTTGATTCCCCTGCAGGAGGGGATGAGCAGCGCCACCTTGCTACTAGCGTTGTTATTAGTTACGTCCTTTTAGGCTTTCTCAGCCCTGCAGGTGCCGGTGGTTTTATCTGTCTGCACCTCCATATTCTGATTTTCCCCTCTTGAGAGAGGCAGTGTGTGCAGAGGGGAGATGAACTTCTCAGCTGAACGGTCTGTGTGTCTCACAGTCTTAGACCTGGAAGGGACCCTCCCAGTCACCCGGGTAACCAGCAACGGGCATTGGAAGGTCACAGACTCACTGGTAGGAGGAAGAGACAAGAGGCCTGGGTTCTGGGTTGTAGTTTTAGCTCTTGTTTATTCAGTTTGCACCCATGGGCAAATGGCTTCCATTCTGCATGCAGGGGGCCTGAGTTTCCTCATGTGTACAATGGAAGGGAGGTGAAGTGGCCTCTGGAGGCACTTCTCTCTCTCATCTCTAGAGATTTAGAAAGAGACATAGACATACATCTTTATGAGGACAGGGGATGGTAAAATAATTTCCCCCAGGTCGTTACATACATTGACGTGGAATTATGTTATTCTACCTTGAAGTTCTTCTCAATTATACAGCCTCAAAGTTACATGAGTTCAAGTCAAATTGTCTGCTGGGTCTAGGTCTACTGTGAGATTGACCAGAATGTGGGGTTTACAAACTGTAGCCTGACCCCGGAAGAGGAGGGGGTCTAGCTCCAGTGAGCAGTGAGACCTAAAGGCAGACCCTGACTTAGCAGGTTAGATGCTGCTTTTTTTCCTTAATTTTATTTTTTATTGATGTGTAGGTGACTTACAATGTTAGCTTCAGGTGAAGGAGCATCTTCTTAGTTTATCAGTTTTTTGGTTTGTTTTTGTTTTTGTTTGATGGGGGAGGTAATGCGATTTATTTACTGTTGTTTAAACGGAGGGACTAGGGGTTAAACCCAGGACCTCACACAGGCTAAGCAGGCGTTCTGCCTCTGAGCTATACCCTCCCCACGGATGCTCCTGACAAAAATGATCAGCGTGATACCTGTAGTCCCTTAAAAATCTGATCCAGGTGAGAATGCTGACACTTTTAAAATGCAAATCTGATTTCCTTTTTCTTAGAACTATTCAGTGACTGCTTATGACTTTTAGAACAAACATCCAGTCCTTTTTCATTGCAAGTAAATACTTCTGTGGAGTCTCCTTCCTACTTGTCCACCTCCATCTCTCTCTCAGATTTACTCTCACCCCCACCCCATAGCACATACCCTGTGTGAATGCTTGTGCCGTGGTGGTTCATGCCTCCTTGCATTTAACCATGACATTCCATTGGTCTGGAAGGCACCCACCCTTCTCCAACTCCCTTCAGTTATCAAAGTTCTAGTCTTCCCTTAAAATTTGGCCAAAAATTACCCTTTCTGGGCTGCATTCCATGAACCTTTCTACCCAAACCTGTATTAGCTGTTTCTCTTCTGTTCTTCCGTAACAGCCTGTGCACATCTTGTAACATCTGTAAGCACTACTGAAAAACCCTTTTCCTTAGGGAATCTCAGTGTAAGAAGAGAAATCCACGTTACCTAGTCTGAGCACTACACAAGCTACGCTGCAGATGTCCTGCACAGCCAGGGCTCTGCGCCCGCGTGCCTCTATAAAGGGACATTCGCCAGCTGCAGGGGGGAAAAGCTCCCATTTTTGGCAAGGTCTAAAAAGATTTTTGCCCTTCAACTTTGCCATAATCTGTCTCTCTGCCTTAAGTTTTTAATTAATACCTTGGAGATACACCAAGATAACACAGAACTTTTTCTTTACTTACTTTTTGTTTACCTGGTTGAGCCTTTTGATTGAGGGCTCCTCTCCTGACCATCACCTCCTAGTTTGTTGCCTTAGCTTCAGAAGAGGTTGCAATCATGAAAATGTGACCTTTAAAAATATGGGTTCTCCGTGCTGCCCCATTTCATGCATGCACACACTGCCTATTAAGATAGTCATTATTAAATGGCCTAATTTTTAGGCATAAATAAACCAAGAATTAAATGCCACTGGTCTCAGCCAAGCTGTGAGTTTTACATGGGAATTAAATGTGAACCCTCTTCTCACTTCCTCTGCTCCAGATGCACCGATCTCCTTGCTCTTTTTAGGCCAAGCACACCTCAGCTTGAGGGTCTCCTTATCTGCTCTTCCCTCCCTCAGAAACATTCTGACCAGACACCCAGGTAGCTGACTCTCACTGCCTTCAAGTCTCTGCTTAAAAATCACCTTATCAGTGAAGCCTGCCTCTGAAAAATGACAAACCAACCCTCAGCTCCAGTCCTCCTGCCCCGACCCTGCGCTATTTCTCTTAATTTCACTTAGCTCCATACGTTTCCTCACATGACAGGTCATAAATGTCCTTGTCAGTTTTCCGTCTGCCTCCCTCTACTAGAATCCGTGAAGGCAGGGATGCTGACTGTTTTGTCTACTGCTCTGTCTCCAACATGAAGAAGAGTGTCTTTAAGGGAAAAAAAAACTGCCTGGGATACAGCAGGTGCTCAGTAAATACCTGTTGAACGGATAGATGACCTAAAGGAAGGAAATCTCATTGTAGAGTTCTCGTGGCCTCGGTTTCTACGGTTAAATAGGGGCAGCCAGCATGCTGGCCCAGTTAACGTGGAGGAAGGGGACTGGTGTTGAGAAAGGCTTCCTAAGCGGGGACCCCGAGCGGAGAGCCCTTGGGCCGGGGCCGCACCAGGGCCTCCTATGCGGGCTCGCTCGTCTTCACAGCCACCACCCGTGAGTTAGAAACTTGCTTCTCCATTTCCCAGAGGCAAAACTAAGACGGAGAAGTTCGGTGCCTTGCCCCCGGGGTAAACGGCTGAGTGGCGGAGCTGAGATTCAGGTTCAGCTCTCGGACTGTGGGCACTGTGTCATTTTCTCCTACTCTGTCCTGCTCATCTCAGTCCTGACAACATCCAGCCTGGCCTCACAGACACTGACGGTAGGGACCACTGAGCGTCAGCTCTGGCCCGGGCTCTCACCGAGGAGCGCCCCTCCAGCACCAAGGCAACTCCACAGGACAGGCGCTGCTGGTCTTCATTTCAGAAGTGGACAAGCTAAGGCTTCCCTGACGGCTCGTGCTGTTCCTCTGGTCGTTCCCTTTTCATGTTCACACCGCACAGTGTGATTTACTTTCATCTCCCTCACTTAAACCCCAGGCTCCTTCAGGACAGAATCTGTGTCTGATCATTTTGTGTGCCCAGCACACGGGCCTGGCCCATGGGGAGTGTCCCCAGAGCACCTGTAGGACTGAACTGACATTCATTGCTTAAAATACGTGGATTTTTCCCTACCATATCGTATGTCCTTCCATGTGATCTCCTTAACTGTGAGATTTGAGGAAAGCCACATGTTCTACCCGAGCCAGGTGTCCTCGCCTACTTAGCAAATTTACCTCCTTCCATTTCCACCCGGCCCGGAACTCTCCCCTCAAGTCACCTCTTTGGTTAAACACATACATAGTCAGGGTCCAGTGTCCGCAGCAGGGCGTTCCCTCTCGCCGTACTTACCCGACATGGGATGTATCTGATTGGCAACTTGGAAGATCAGAGGAGGGCAGGGCTCTGGGTTAGGCTGAGACTGTCTGTTAGGAAAGGAGGTGCAGGAGGTCCCCAGGGATAAATCAGCTCATTTACAAAAAGGAGAGGGGGTGATCGGAACAAAGCTGCAGGGAAGGTTTGCTTCATCTCTTCTCCCCACAGTATTTATATCAAGAAACCTAGTCATCACTATGTTATTTGAGATGTATCAGCTAATATTTCTGAACGTGGCTCTTCCCTTAACCCTTTTATGTCTTTTGTCAATTAACAGTGCGTTTTCCATTTCGCTGCCTGATGTAGGTAAGTGACGTTCGCTTATTGCTGGCACAAAACTTTAGCATCAGCATGTTGAGCCTGAGAAAGAGAAATCATAATTCTTCCTGAATTCTGCATTTTAATGACAAAATTGATAACACTGAAATCAAAGAAGACATTTTAGCCAATAGTATCACTTACTTTGAGGAAGAAGAGTAACATTTCTCAAGTGCCTGCTGTGTACCAGGACTCCTAACATCCCAGAGAAGTAGATGCATCACCTTTTTCAGGAAGGCTCTAGGACCACATGCATACTTCAGGGATCTGAGATTTGTACTCATGTCTCTGAACACGAAGCTTGTGCATTTCACATAACCTCCTGAAGGACCTGACAGCCACATCACCCTAATGCAGACATAGTAAATTGAACACGATCACTTCACAGCACACATACTAACTGAACTAAGGACGGGTCACTGGAGTATTTTTTGCTTTGCTATACAAACAATAATGCACAAATCAGCACAGTGCCTGACACAGGGCGCTCTCCGCACATGTCAGTAAGCTGCATCTGGCACTGACAGAAGGCCAGGTGTTTTGTTGTTTGTCAGTTTTTGTTTATGGGCTCTGGCGATGGTGGCTACTTTGATTTTACTCTGATTTGGCAATTCAAATGTATTTTATGTTCCACAAATGTGAGTTTGCTGAACTAAGTAACAAATGATTATATAAACCTGGTAAGATCACAGGTCTCCCAAAATATCCTTGGTCTATGTTAAAAAAAAAACCAACTTAAAATAGGCATTTACTGTACCCTCATCCAAGTTTATGAATAATTGAATATGAATTGTGAATAATTATGCCAGAAGGTTTCAGACTTGTTCAAGTGGTAAGTCACTAGGGTATTATGGAATTCTACATGGAGCATCAAGGAATGTGAACGTCCTAATCTGAAAATGCCTAGTTATGATTATGGGCTAAGTCTGGTCCAACTTTACGCACAGTTACTATACAGAAGCCGTTGTCAGTGATTGGGAATGAAAATCATGGCAGAAAAATCAATACGAATGCTCTGTTGTTGTTTTCCCCTTGGGAATGAAGCCCTCTCACTGTCCTAGCAGTGCTAACAGCTCTGTCCAGTTTCAGGAGGATGGGAACCTAGTGTGAAACGATCCTTTCAGCAACTCAGATTTTTTGGAAATCTGCATGAAATCAAATGGCTGTAAATATTTATGTGTTTGAGATACTAAGACATCTCACTGGTTTTTAATTGCTCAGTTGAATTTCTCCCCAAATGGATATTCTTTTTGGTCTTTGACCCTGTCAGCTTATCTGTGTTCCATGACCAGGTTTTGATAGAACAGACTTGGGAACGCACCTGGATACTTAAGTGATTGTGTATAATCTGGAAAGCCAGGGACTGCACAAACCATACCTAATAATGGACTATTTTGATCCTATCTCGACCCTAGAATTTTGGTCTCAGGAAGTTATTGTCTATGATGATGTGGACGTAAATGAAAAAAAGTCAAAGTAAGTCAATTTACTTCACTGGTCATCCTTGCTGGTACTTAACACTGCTGATGCTTTGTTAAATACGGTCAGAGGGCCATCTCAGGTCCCTGGAGACTAGGTGAAAAGTCAAGTTGTGATATATCCCCCCCACCCCGAGGAAAGGAAAACAGTGAATAACGTCCAAGACGGAACAGTGGTAAGTGATTCATAACTCACTGGAGCTTTCTCACTTTTAAATCTATAGACGTGAAGTTCATTGCGACACAGCAAACACTTATTTAATAACCTCTTACAGAGAGTCGCAAGCACTAGCTGACAGAATGTCTGTTCTAAAGCCTAAATTACTACAATCTATCAAAAGCAGCAAAGCGTCTGAAACTTGATGGCCTCTCTCTGGCTACTTACTGTCTGTCCTCTCCCTCTCAACTAAATGGCTGGAAATACAGGTCTCCTCTGCTCATCTTAGATACCTCTTTCCAAGCTCACTCCAACGGGGCTCCTGTCCCTGTCATGACAGTGGACTTATTTTTGGTAAGGTCACTATGAACTTCTTTGTTAAATCCAGTGGATACCTTTAAGTCCTTATTATACTTGGCTTCTTTGTAATATCTCAGATTATTGGTTGTGCCATCCTTAAAAAGAAAAAAAATACTAACTTTTCCCCAGGTTTGTATGTTATCATTTCTTATTCCTCATCTTTGGCTGCTGCTCCCCCTGTGTGGTTGGTTTTGGTTTTGTGCATGTGTGTGTGCTAATTCTGCCATTCAGCTCTTTAAAAATTATGTGTCTCTCAGATTTCCTATATCAGTTCTCTTCCCTTCTTCCTTTATATGTTCTTGAATGGTTTAATCCACACCTGGGGCTGTAATTACAACCATTATGGTAATGATATCAAAAGTTACAATTTTGAGGTCAGATTTCTTTCTTCCTTAATAAACTTTCTAGATAACTCTATGTGAAACTCAGAATTCCATAACAACTCATAATTTCGCCATCCAAATATGATCCCTTTCTTCTAATGTCTATGCTGGTGATTGTTTCGATAAACACAGAGTTGCTCACACCAAACCCCTAGATATTAGGGCTCCTCCTCCTCTCTTGCCCTGCACCCTCTTCCCTTCCCGTAACTCACAGTGTTCCTGCTCCTCCATCCCCACTGCACAGCCACAAAGTCAAAGTCAGTCAGTTTACCTCGTTGGCCATCCCTGCTGATACTTAACAGGGATACAGCAGGGAAGCAGGTCATCCCTGCTGATACTTAGAACAGCCACAGGGCAGGCACTAACTTTCTTGGCTGGATTGCTGCAGCGACTTCCTCAATGGCCGTCTCACCTCCACTTAGTTTATTTTCCGCACTTTTTAAAGTGCAAATGTGATCATGTTATAGAACCCACCATCCACCAGCTTAAAAATGGTTAATGGTTGTCACCACTCCCAGAATGAAATCCACACTGTTTGAGAAGCCATCAGATTCATTATTGCTCCAGCCTCTGGCAAATCTCAACCTCACCTGTACTTCCCACTCACCCACCATTCCTCTGTTCCATCCATACTGTACTAGCTGGGTGCTTCTTGAACTCAGAAAGCTGTCCAGCATTTCTAAACCTTCACATTTGTTCTGACTTAATCAATTCATCCAACAAACATTTATTGAGCATGTACTATATGCCAGGCACTGTGCTAGGTGTTGGGGATAACAGTGAACAAGAGATACTCCTATTCCTATATGATTGGAGATAATGTAAATTAATTTTAAAATCTATACTTAAGAATGGGAATTCGACTGCTTCGGATATTTTGAAAAAAGGGAGCATATGGTGTCTGTGCTGGTAGGAGACTGACAGTCATATTAGAGTAGACATCTGGGGAAGGCCTTTCCAAGGAGGTGAGAATTTAGGAGCAGAAGAATTGTTCTGCCTGTAACACACTTTGCCATGCTTTTTGCTTGGTTAAGTATTTTATCCTTCATTATATAAAACTGAATTCAGATTTTGCTTTCCCCTGGGAAGCCGTATCTGTCTGGGTTTAGGTACCACTCTTTTGTTAGAGCCTTTTTTCACGGTTGTGTTGGTCTTAGTTCTTGCCTGTCCAGCTCTAGATGGGAGCTCCCTGAGGAGGACTGTGGCTTCCCGATCAGTACCTTGTGTCCTCACACCAAAAGTTTGTTAAATCAGTTAACAAAGAAGGACCTGCTTCCAAAAAAAAATGTGTAAAATAATCCAGAAGCTCAGCATTGGCAGACATTTCCATTATTTAGGGGATCAGAAAAGTCTCTGTGCCAAGGTGAAGAGGCAAGGATAGGAAACACTTTAACAGGTGGAGACGGGATTGAGACGGGGAGGAGCAGGGAAGGTCTGCTGGGGGCAGGGGGAGGGACAGCTGTGTAAATGGGAAACGTGTGCTTGGGAAGTTGCAGTGGGGCACAGGATCAGGAAGGTGGGTGTCACAGGCAGGAAATGCGATTTGGTAGGAGATGGAGGAGAGCCCAGGAATACGAAACTAGAGTTAATAACTTTTTTCTTAAAAATAAATGATACGATATTTATAAAAAGGAAAAGAAAACAAGAAACATACGTTAAGTTGTAAAGCACGATAAAACAAATTCCTCTGAAGCCGTAACTCAGCTTCAGACGCAGAACACATCCGATGTCTTGGTTCCTCTACTTGCACTCATCCCTTAATCTGTCTCATTGCCTTCCCCCAAGGTAACTGCTCTCCTAAATTTCGTGTCTTTCATTCCTGTTCAGGATAAAAATAGTGTTAGCAAACCCAAGTGATTAAAATATATTGTTTTATTTGGGATTTTAACATTATAAAAATGGTATCATGCTATATATGTAGAATTCTGCAAGTATTTTTTACTGAAATGAAATCCTTTTTTAAAACCACTGTTCATTAAATTCATTTTT